CTCTAGCTGCTGAGAAGGTCAGTGTTGTTGCCGAATGCTGTGGCTTTCACAGCTGAGTAGGTAAACAGTGCAACTAAGTGGAACCAGTTAGACAAGTGAAACCAAAAATAAAGATAAGGTTAAATATCGACTTTGGTAGATTCAGCTTGCTTTTTTGTTTTTATAACAAAAATTAAGCTGGTTGATAGGGAAGAATGTGACCAATAAATGCTACCCACTCAAGGACTTGTCGTTCATTCTTCAGCAAAGCTTTGCCAATCAATTATCTTGTGTTGTGCTAGGCAGGATTGGGGGATGGCGTGCAGAGACAGAGCTGGTATACTTCTCACTCTGCATAGGCTCACGGTCTAGTAAAGGGGAGTAGAAAGAGGTGTGGCTAACCAACCACATACAAGGCAGAATGGGGTTGTGGCTGCCCATCACCTAACCCAGCAAAGGCAGACTTTATCTGCCTTTGACTCTGTCTTACCTACCAAGATTCCAACCGCCTGTTTCCCAGCCCTGCTCTGTGCTCCAGCCCGGGCAGCTTCCACACATCTCCTTCCATGCTTATTCTGAATTCATTTTCCATTCATTCATTTTAAAAATATTTGAGTTCGTGTTATGTGCCAGCAAATAAGACAAGGTCTCTCATGGATCTTAAGGGCTAGTGGAAGAAACATAGTCAAACAATGCTGTGAGGGTGCGGGACATAGCTCGATGAGAGTTCTTAATAAAAAATGAACTAGACAAGGATTTCTATGGTATATGTGCTTATGTTTGTACACATACAGGTTATTTTATATAGAAATAGGAGCAAACTATACATACGTACTACCCCTTTCCTTTTCTGCTCCCTTCCCTTTCTTTCCTTTCTCTTCCCTTTTCCCCTTCCCTTTCCTTTCCTTGCCAAATTCAAGTTATGTCCAGCCTGACTTAAGTGTATAATTAGGAAACAGGGGCAAAGCATCATTAGCATATTAACACAAAAAAGTGTCCTTAGATTATGAAAAATTGGAGTCCTTTTTTCCCCTGGCAGATAAAGCTTTCATTTCAACTTTCTGCCATCCTGTAAATTTTGTAGTTTTTTCCCTTAGAATTTATTTTCTTCTCCCTTACACTTCTTATTCTGAAAAATTAAAAACCTCTTGTAGGTTTGAAAGAATGAACATTCACGTAGTCTTTACCTAAACTCACCATTAACATTTTGCTTCATTTACTTTATCTCTCTAGATTTAATCTTTCATTTTGCTGAATCATTTGACGGTAAATTGCAGACATTATGACATTAACCCCTAAATATTTTAGCATGTATCTCTTAAGAATGAAGAAAAATTCTCTTTTCTAGCCATAAAGCCAATTATCATACCAATGAAATTTAATATTGATCTAGCAATATTATCTAACATATAGTAGTTATTCACATTTTCCTATAGCCCCCCAAAAGTATTTATGGCTATTTCTTTTAGAGCCATAATCTAATTAAGATTTATACACTGCATTTAGTTACCTTGTCTATAAATCTCTCTAATCTAGAACTGTGTCCCTATCTTTTTTTGTCTTCCATAATATTAATAGTTTTGAAAATCCAGGCTAGCCATCCTGTAGAATGTTGCAAACATAGAGTTGTCTGATCATCTCCTCACTGTAAAATTCAGGTTATATATTAGTATTTTAGGAAGAATTGTAGTTAGGAGATACTGTGTCTTTTCCATTAAATCACAATCAGGAATATAAGCTTGTCCTCTTATTGGTGGTGTTAAATTTAGTTCTTTGTTTAAAGTGTTGTCTATCAGATCTCTCTATTTGAGGATATTTTCCCTCCACGTAAGTGATATGTAATCTGTTGGGTGATTCCTTGAGAATTGTGAACGTTTCCCCATCCAACAACATCATTATTATTTTTTTAAAGATAGGCTCTTGCTGTGTTGCCCAGGCTGGAGTGCAGTGGCATGGTTACAGCTCACTGCAGCTTCAACCTCCTGGGATCAAGTGATCCTCCCGCCTCAGCCTCTCAAGCAGCTGGGACTACAGAGACAAGTGCCAACATGCCTGACTGATTTTTTTTTTTTTTTTGGTAGAGATGGGGTCTTGCTAAGTTTCTCAGGCTTGTCTCAAACTCCTGGGCTCCCACCTTGGCCTCCCAAAGTGCTGGGATTACGGGTGTAAGCCACTGCACCTGGCCTTTAACAACTTGATTTTAGCATTCATTGGTGATCTTTGTTCAATCAGTTATTACATTGGTGGTATTGCAGAAATGGTGTTTTTCTAATTCCATCATTCCTTTTTCAGGCATTTTTTTTTTTTAAATAGAAGAGACCTTCTTAACACTTTTTTAGTATCCATATGGGCTCATGAATTTTTTTTAAAATTATTATTATCATTTTTTGAGACAGGGTCTCACTTCGTCTCCCAGGTTGGAGTGCAGTGGTATACTCATGGCACACTGTAGCCTCGACCTCCCAGGCTCAAACAATCCTGCCACCTCAGCCTCCCTAGTAGCTGGGACTATAGGCATGCATCACCATGCCTGGCTAATTTTTGTATCTTGTAGAGATAGGATTTTTCCATGTTGCCCAGGCTGGTCTTGAACTCCTGGGCTCAAGTGATCTGCCTGCCTTGGCCTCCCAAAATGTTGGGATTATAGGTGTGAGCCACCATACCTGGCCATATTATAATTTTTTTAAAAAAATTAAGAATATTTTATATTAAGGTATATGGATATTAAACACACAATTTGATTAGTTTTGACAAACATATATGCCCATGTAATGCCCACCCTAAACCACAAAAAGTTTCCTTTGAACCTTTTTCAGTCATTCCCTGACCCTCCTTCCCCTCAAAGTGGCAGCACTGATCTGATTTCTTCATTATTCTCTTTGATATTTAACTTGTCCCAAATATTGGCATTGAAAGCCCCATCCAGCTGGCTCTTTTTGACGTGTCTTCTCTAATCACATATAAGAAGATGTTTGCTTTATTCTTTTTAATAGCTGAAAATAGAGTTGGCACTCTGTATCCATGAGTTCCATATCCATGGATTCAACTAAGAAAATATTCAGAGGAAAAAAATTCCATAAAGTTCTGAAAAGCAAAATTTTAATTTGCTGCAACACCAAGTACTACATCGAATCCACTTGCACGAAGTGATGTATGGGTGTTATATTAGGTATTATAAGCAATCTTATATAATTATTTAAAGTATATTTATTATTTATATACTTTAAATATATATATTTAAAGTATTTAAATTATATGGGAGGATGATTTAAAGTATATGGGAGGATGTGTGGAGGTTATATGCAAATACCATGCCATTTTATATAAGGGACTTAAACATTGGCAGATGTTGGTACCTGTGGGTGGTTGTAGAACCAGTGCCCTGAGGCTGGCCGTGGTGGCTCATGCTTGTAATCCCAGCACTTTGGGAGGCTGAGGCAGGCGGATCACTTGAGGTCAGGAGTTCGAGACCAGCCTGGCCAACATGGTGAAACCCTGTCTCTATTAAAAATACAAAAATTAGCCGGGTGTGGTGGTGCACGCCTGTAATCCCAGCTACTAGGGAGGCTGAGACGGGACAATCACTTGAACCCAGGAGGTGGAGGTTGCAGTGAGCCCAGATTGTGCCACTCCACTCCAGCCTGGGCAACAGAGTAAGAACAACAACAAAAACAAACAAACAAACAAGAAACACCCAGTGCCCCAAGGATGCTGAGGGATAAGTGTATCTAATGGTATTGATACTCCTTTAATAATTTCTCCATTAGTGGGCTTTAGGTGGTTTCATTTTTTTATCTCGTTACAACCATGCTGCAGCAAAGATCTTGGAGCACATATTCTGTTCTCTTACACTGATGTGAGTATAGACTAGAGCTCTAGAAGTGGTATTTTATTTTATTTTATTTTATTTTATTTTATTTTGAGATGGAGTCTCGCTCTGTCAACCAGGCTGGAGTGCAGTGGCACGATCTTGGCTCACTGCAAGCTCTGCCTCCCAGGTTCATGCCATTCTCCTGCCTCAGCCTCCCCAGTAGCTGGGACTACAGGCGCCCGCCACCACACCCAGCTAATTTTTTTGTATTTTTAGTAGAGACGGGGTTTCACCATGTTAGCCAGGATAGTCTTGATCTCCTGACCTCATGATCCACCCACCTCGACCTCCCAAAGTGCTGGGATTACAGGCGTGAGCCACTGTGTCCGGCCAGAAGTGGTATTTTAAAGTCAACGAGTATGCACATTTAAAATTTTGATCGATATTGCCAATACTTCCCTCCCCTCTTAAAAAGCATTATTAATGAAATTTTTACAGACACTGCTGGTTTCCCCATGGCCCCTCCAACGCTGAATTTTATCTGCCTGTGTGTGTCTGGTGGCACAGGGTTTGAATTTGGACTTATCCTTGAGTAGAGTGAACATCCAAAGTACAGGTCCGCCTTTTTGGTTCTAAGCCCTCTAGTTTTGATTCACATAGAAATGAAATCTCTCCTCAAGGAGAAATGTTTGCCATTCCTTGTCATTCAGTGTCACATTGACCATCACAGCCGGCTTTGGGCAGAGGGCATTCTTACTGTTTTTATTCTGCATTAACTTTACACAGGACATAAGTGAGGAAATGGAGGCATGGGGGGATGATGACATTGCCCCCAGGGTCTGATCTTCCTAAGCAGCCTCTGTAAATTTGGTTCACAGTTACTGCTGTGTATTTTTACCCTTAAATAACTATTGGAACTGGTTTTTATTTTAGAATGAACCATGATGATTCTACATTTGGGATAGCAGGTTTGTCCTTGTGTGTGTGTGTGTCTGTGTGTCTGTGTGTGTAGAGTGTGTGTGTGATCACTCTCTGAGGCCAGCAAGTAAACCAACGCTTTCTGTTTTTATTTTAAAGATGAGTCTCAGATTAATTAAACACCTGTGTGGATGACTCATAACTTTTTCTCCTTTTTTTTTTTAATAGATTGAGGGTTGTTTGAAAGCTTTTATCTCTTTACTGAAGTTGCCCATGTTGCTTTTCTTTATAGGTGTTTGAAGCTGTGATTTCATGGATCAATTACGAGAAAGAAACCCGTTTGGAGCACATGGCAAAGCTGATGGAACATGTCCGGCTTCCTCTCTTACCTAGGGACTACCTAGTCCAAGTGAGTGTTGTATGAAGAGCCAAGCACTTCTGTGTTCACCCAGGCCTCTAGGAATAGCAATGGGCAACCCTGGTTGGACGGAGTAGTTGAGGGCTTTAGTGGGTGGTTTCCGTATGTGCTGAGGGAACCAACCTACTGGGTTAAGTGTTAGGTGTTGTAAAGTTGAAGATCATAGGCTTGAAAATAGGACACTTAGGTTTCAGTCTCTGCTCTACTGCTTATTAGTTTTGGATTTTTATTTAACCTCTTCAAGCCTCAGTTTCTCTTCCATAGAACAGATATCATAGTAGAGCCAAGCAGGGTTGTTGTAGGGACTAAAGGAGTAGAGTATGCAAGTCAGCTGTTTAGCATGGAGCCTGGGGTAACAAATGTTCCATGAAAGTTAGCTGCCTTTGTTGTAGAGGACTGAAACAAGAAGGGTCATGTCCACAATGTTTCTATGTTCCCTTTTTGTCTTAGTTTTAGGCAACTTGAAGCCAAATCAAGATTGTAAAAACTGGGTGCCTAGAATACGTAGTGCTTCCACTTCCTCTGAAGAGGAAAGAAAAATTAAGAATTATGGGGTTCCCTTATGGTGCCATATGTTTTCTCATTTAATCCTTATAATAACCCTGAGGGGCAAAGATTGTAACTCCTTTTTTACACATGTAGGCCTTGAGGCTTGTGGAGGTTGGGATTTATCAGGGGTCTCCATCCTTAGGGAGGCTCAGGATTCAACTCCATGTCAGTCTGGCTCTGCAGTGCATAGTTCTTCCACTAAGCTAGCTGCCACCATTGATACGCTCCTTTCTGCTTACCCATTACATGACTTATTTTATATAGTAAATGGCATTAGATACTTTTATAAGCAGAGAATAAATCTTAAAATATATGAACAAAACAAAACATCGAGACAGCAGGTTAGCCCTCAGCTGTCTCCAAGGAGTCTCTGGAAGGAAGGGAAGGTGTGATGCAAGGATAAAGAGGAGGTTTAGCAGCCTAGCAGCCCAGCAGACCAACTCATGTTACTTTCCAGCCATATAATACCAGGTACATACTTAACCTTTTTAAACCTCAGTTTTCTTATCTGGAAAAAATGGCGCTTGCTTTATAGGATTGTTTGGGGATAAACAATAAAATGAGATAATCCATGTAAGGCCTATAATACAGTGTTCAGTGAATGTTACTGATCTTACTCTGTAGTTTTTGTGACCACTGCAGTGATTCTTAGTAGCAGGTGACACAGTATCCTCATGAGCATGTGTAAACTCCTCTGCTGGTAACACTTGTTGATTGCAGGTATGAGGGATCAGTGAAATGTTCCCTGAATTGCCTTACTTCAGCCTCCTCAGGTGCTGAGGGATATGCTTGCAAGCTCTTAAATGGGGCATGCATGCTACTTTGGGTGGTACCACTGCCACCTGGTGGCAGCATATCTTTCCTGTAGAAAAGGTCCCCTAAGCGGAGGGAGTGAACCGGCCTGAGCATCCAATGTCAGTCAAACCTCCCACTGTCCTGTGGGAAGCTGGCCAGAGGTGGAGGAGGCACCTGGACTCCAGCATAGTCTCGCTTCCACAGGGATGGTTGGCGACCTGGGGACCTGGGTTCCAGAGAAAGCTAAAGCGCCTTAGAGACCCTTGGTCACAAACTCCCATCAGGCATCCACAACTGAAACTGAAATGTCACCATTAGGAAATGGTTCTTGGGTTGTTATGCCAAAGTAGAGTTTAGGTCTGGAAAAGAAGGGGGTCGGAGGCAATGGGCATGAGAACTGTTGTGTGGGACTCCTCCTCCCTTCGCCTTTTTTTCAGAAATGCCTTTTATCAGGTCTCTCAGAGTGAACACCTCTGGAAGAGGATGTTTCATTAACATTCATTTGACTTTGAAACTTCAAATAAGTATAATTGCTGGGATGGCTGATGGTGTTGGGGAGGAGGAGGAGGAGGAGGAAAGGAAAGCCCTGGGCAGACCTCCACCAATGCTGCCTGACTTCTGGGAGAGGTTTTTTTTTTTTTTTCTTTCACAAAAGGTAGCATTTATTAGGCTTTTACTCAGCATTTAAAATATTGTACTAAATATATAATATATTGTGATAAAATATATATAACGTAAACTGTTATTTTAACCATTTTTAAGTGTACAATGTAGAGGCATTCATTACATTCAAATTCAGTACAACCATTACTATAAAGATTACCAAAACTTTTTCATCACCCCCAAAGTTGAAACTCTTGTACCCATGAAGCACTAATTTTCCAAGAGAACTTTTAATTCAAGCTGAGTAAGTTCTTCTGGAGAAATAGCTGCTCATGCATTTCTCCTTCCTTCCAAGCTTTTTTAGACATCATCTCCCACCCTTTTCATTTTGTAATTGACCCTAGAAGTTTATGATTTGTCTCAAGCTGGCTCAGTTCCTTACTGGGAGGGGGGAAAAAAAACCTTCCAAGGAAAACAGTTCTTGGGGACTGTCTCTGGGGAGGGAGGTGGTCAGAGGTACACATAGGCCTTCTCTTGCCAATCGTTTTTTCCCTGCCAGCTCCAATGCTGCCCAGCAGGTGATGGCCCTGGCCATGCTTTCATTCCTAGTGACAGATTGGGACCCAGGAGAGGCTCAGTCATGCCTTGTACATCACTGACTTGAGGGCTGAGATAATTGAGGTGGGAGGCCCTTCTCATTCTCTGACTGGACTTGAAGTCTTCAGGGTCAGAAATTTTGTCTTGTTTATCAGTTTTCTTCTTGGAGACCAGCACAGGACTGCCCAGCCAGGAGACATTCAATCAGTGTTAGCTGTTGAATAGAATTGATCTTTCCTAACACAAAGCAGCCTCAGAAGACCACACTGCCCATTCCAGATATACCACACAGTGATCTGACCTGGGCCAAAATGTGGAGATTCGAGAGTTAGAGCACTAGAATGGCTTCATGCTTGGTCTTGCCCATGAAACCTTTAGGCTTACATTTGCTGAGCACTTGCTTAGGTCCTAAGCGCTGGAATAGGAGGTGAAGAAGTCAGAGCCCCAGCTTAGGTGGAGTCCTAGGTGAGGTCAATAGGTGGGACTTTGTGCAGGATAATTTTTCTGCTCTGATGTTGTTACTCTGTTAGAAAGAGCCTCACTGGCCGATTTTCTGTCCTGAGACCTTCACTATAAGACAACAAATATGAATGTTTCTCCTTGACAAGCTTATTTTACTCAATGCCTCCAAAGGTTGGCTGATGGCTCCCACACCCTTTCCTCTTTCCCCTCACTCCTCCTCTCAGATATCTGTTTGCCCTAAACATTATAATGCATTCAAATCAGAAGAAATGTGGTTAGAGGCTTCCAGCATGGCTACTTGTCTTTTGTTTTGCATAAACTCATTTAAGCCTCAAAACAAACAAAACTAGTCAGGTTGTAGATACCTTTAATATGCCCATTTTACAGATGAGGAAACTGAGGATCAGAGATGTTAAGTAGTAGATCTGGTCTAATGCCAGAGCTTGATCCCTTATCCCACTGTGTTCTTAAAATTCAGGAGGTAAGCAGTAAGTTGTAACTCTTTGGCTTCTGAGATGATGTGGTGAAGGAGTGAATGAGTGTGGGAGTGCAGGAATGACTGAGCCCAGGGTGAAAGCTTGGGAAATGTGGCTGAGCTCTGCTCCAGGATCACCTGTGGATTATTACCTCTAGACGGTTGAAGAAGAAACTTTGATAAAGAATAACAACACCTGTAAAGACTTCCTCATTGAGGCCATGAAATACCATCTGCTCCCTCTGGATCAGAGGCTATTGATTAAGAACCCAAGGACCAAGCCCAGGACTCCAGTCAGCCTTCCCAAGGTAAGCCCCAGCCCAGTAACTGCCAAGAGTCAGGAGTGTGCCCTGGGAAAGTGGCCTTCCACTCCTGCCTCCAAGTCTTTCCTCACCCATGGCTGCCCTGCATCTGGGTTGCATTTACAACCTAGGAGATGGAGTCTGCTGGTTCCTCTTGAATCTGCTGGTACCTCTCTCTTCTGGGGTCTTCCTTTCCTAAGAGTTTCAAGGTAACCTCCAGTGTCATCAGGGAGGTTTGAGAATAACTCAGAGCTCTCTCTCACCCCCACCCTGACTTCTCATTTCACACCATGGCTTGTGCTCTATTTCTGTTGGAAGCAGAGGAATGGCTATGTTGGTTTCACTTAGTGATGGCCATAGTATTCCTCTTTCTAGGCCATTCTTTGAGTTAGAATAGTCCTAGTCTGTTTCTTTCCCCCACTTCAGGGAAGGACAAAAAGGACAATTAGGGCTGCCAGAGGGAAGAAAAGGGGTTCTGAGAAAAGGACCCTGTCGAATTGAGGAGTTCGACAGGTCATGAAGCAGAGGAAGGAAATGGGAGAAATGAGAATTTGTGAGGGAGCAACCAGGGAAGGGGAAGGAAGACGTAGGAGGGGACCCCATGATCTAGAGATCTAGAGTTTATGGTGTGTGCTGGCTGCTTTGGTTCCCTGCAAGTCTCCCTTCCTCTCTGATCCTCAGGCTCCTTATCTACAGAATGAACGATGCTCCACTTGATCCCTAAAGTTCTGTCTGGCTTGGCACCAAAGTAGTCGTTCTAGGAGTCTAACATGCTGATGTCTGGGGGAAGGAATCAGTCAACCCAAGAGGAAAGGTGGGAGGAGAGGAGTGGGTCATGCTGTCTCATTGATGACACAGTAGGCAGCACCAGGAAATTATTTAGGCTCTTGCTTTGTCCTCCTCCTCCTCCTGTTTCCAGCTGGCTGCCATCCTCCCTGCCTGCTTCTTCCAGGAAGGTTTCACAGTGGCTGGAGAAGCATGTTGTTTTCCAAGACCAGGTGTTGGAGTTCTCTGAGGTTTGCAGGACCTTCTTTCCCCTCTGCTCCATGACCTTGGATCATGGGGAATATATTGGTTTCAATGTGAACAAATGTCTCAGTGTCCCAGATAATAATACAAGTAGCTAACCTTTATTGAGTGCTGAGATTATCACTTGAGTATCTTATTTAATCTTTTCAACAACTCTACAACGTAAAGATAGTTATCCTAGTTTTATAAAGGAGGAAACTGAGGTTCAGAGAAGTTAATTTATTTGCCCAAGGTCAACACAGCTAATGTGGTAGAATCAGCATTTGAACTGAGTCTTTATCACTCTCCATATCTGTTTTCTGAACCCATACCATCCTGCACCTGGCTTCACCTTCATAAACCTGAGAGTGCATACTTGCCTGCTGGCCTCATGTTGCCTAGTGTGGGTTAGAAGAAGGCATAGCTGCAAGGCAAGGCCTTGGTCTGGCTGGACATTGGTCTTACTGCAGGTTGATGCCTTTTGTTTTGTTTGGTTGGAATATTGCATAGAAACTTCTTCAATATTTTTCAAAATGAAAATAACTTAGCTTTCTTTAATTATAGACATATGTGCTTATTGTAGATTATTAAAAGGATACTACAATTTTGAAATTAAGTAAAAGTCCCTTGAAATGTCTCCTAGGGTAAGAAATCTGCTATTATTTGGAAAGTTTTCTTTCAGACATGTCTCTGTGCACTTTTTCACAGATAGATACAAATGTACAGTGTATCGCTACACAGATTGAAATATTTGCCCCCCATGCAGCCATGTGGTGTAGACTGCTTTTAATATTATCATATAGGTGAAATCAGCGTTTAAATTGTAATAGTACCTGGTACTTAATTTTATGCACTATTATGTACATATTATAGACAGTCCTCTACTGATGGGCTTTGCAGTAATTTCCTTTTTTTTCTTTTTTTAATTGTATCCTTTAAAAGATGGCATCAGGTTTGAGTTCATATTTCTTTCATTGGGAGTGAGATTCATCTTGGTTTCATATGGTTATTGGCAGTTGTATTTCTATTTTGGAGAATTCTGTTCATGTCCCTAGCTCATTTTTCTGTTAGATTGTATATTTTTTATTAATATTTTTTATTCCTTTGTTTTCTTCTTGAGGCAGAGTCTTGGTCTTGTACCCAGGCCAGAGTGCAGTGGAGTGATCTCAGCTCGCTTCAGCTTCAACCTTCCAAGCTCAAGCGATCCTCCTACCTCAGCCTCCCGAGTAGCTGGGACTGTAGGTGTGTGCCACCACACCCAGCTAATTTTTTTTCTTTTAATTTTTTTGTAGAGACAGGTTTTTGCCATGTTGCCTAGGCTGGTCTCGAACTCCTGAGCTCAAGCAATCCACACACGTTGGCCTCCCAAAATGCTGGAATTATAGGTGTGAGCCACTGTGCCTGGCCTTATTTATAGTTTTTAAAGGCTCTTTGCACATTAAAGAGGTTAGGCCTTTGAATGTTTATATTTCAAATATGTTTTTTCTTAGTTTGCAGTTTGTCTCTTGCTTATAGTAATTTTTTAGTCCAAAAAACCCCAGTTTTTGAGGAGTCAAATTGATCTATCTTTTGCTTTATAGCTTGGGTTTTGTGTCATGTTTAGAAATATTTTCTTTACTCTGAAATGATTTAAAGAATGTCCCCATGTTTTCTTCAAGTACCTTTATAATTTTTGTTTTACATTTGAATCTTTGATGCACTTAAAATTATTTTGTGTGTGTAAGGAGTGAGGGCAGGGATTCAGTGTTATTTGTACTGCAAATGATGAGCCAGTTGTCTCAAGGTTATTTTATTCATTAATTCCCCTTTTCCCCCATTGGTTTGAATACTATCTTTATTATGATCTAAGTTTCCACAAGCTTCATGTCTTGAGAATGTTGATTCTAAGTGCACTGCTTTTTATTTAGCATTTTTACTTCCCTGGGTTTTCAGCTGATGTTCCGTCTGTGACATTTCCCTTTGGAAGCTGTGGTTCTCATCCTCTATAATATCAGATGAATGACATCTTTGCCTGAGGAGTGTAGCTTGGAGCTAAGGGAATGGTTTAGTGCTGGCCCAGCTTTTTTGTGTAAAAACCATACCTAGTGACCTCCTTTTCTGGACTCCATGTCTAGCTCTTACCACATATACCCATAAAAAGATAGTTTGAAAATTAAAGCCCAGTTTGTGCCTGAGCCTAGACGAAGCATGCTGAGAGCTGCTCCACCATCACCCCTGTTTCATCCTAGGGATTGAATCTGTAGTTGAGAGAGAGTCTACCCCTTGTTTCAGGAGGTCAAAGCCATCCTTCTGTCTACCCTACTCCTTAAGAAACATTTATTTTCTGAATGAAGACATTTAGATTCCTGGGCCTTCTGCAGGCAACTGAAACCATGACTTCCTTAGAATCTGTTAAAGAAAGAAATAAAGAAGACATCACTGCTGTTTGTCTCATTGTTCTCCTTATTCAATCCTTAAATGATTTAAGGTTATGTTATCTAACCTGCTTCTTAAACTATACTCTCATCACCATTGTTTGAGCACTTAAATTAGTGAGGGGATCCCCACTGAGGGCTTGAAGAATGAATGGGGTATGCTGAGGGAAATGATTACTTAGGGATTATCAGATCGTGTACTGTCTTAATAAATCATCACAGTAATAGGTCTGTACTATTCATATCCCCACTTTACTGAGATTACTCAGAGAGGTTAAGAAATTTGCCCAGTTAAGTACTGGCTAAGTGCAGTGCTGGGGTTTGGTCTGTCTCACTCCAAAATCCATGCTTTTCTTTTTACACCAAACTGCTTCCTGAGAAACAGCTTTGAGGTTTTGGTAGCGGTTTAAAGAGATTTCTTTTAGATTAGTTGAGGTATAATAATTTATATGCAGTAAAACTCACACTTTTTAGAGATATGTGATAAGATTTTACAAATGCACCATCATGTAACCACCATCCCAATCAAAACATAGAATATTTTAATCACTACAAAAAGTTTCCATGTGCTGCTTTGTAGTCAATCCTCTTCTTCTACCCCCAGCCTCTGACAACTACTGATCTGATTTCTGTCCCTACGGTTTTGCCTTTTCTAGAGTGTCATATAAATGGAATCATGCTGTATGTAGTCCTTTGAGCTTGGCTTCTTTTTCTTACCATAATGCATTTGAGATTCATCCCCGTTGTTGCATGTATCAGGAGCTCATTCCTTTTTATCACTAAGTAACGTTCCATTGTATGGATGGACCATAATTTATTCATTCACCAGTTGGTGGACATTTGGGTATACAGTTTTTGGCTGTTACAAATAAAGCTGCTGTGATTTCACTTACAGATCTTTGTGTGGACATATGTTTTAATTTCTCTTGGGTAAATACCTAGGAGTAGGATTGCTGGGTTATATGGTAAGTATATGTTTAACTTTATAAGAAATTGATAAATTGTTTTTTAAAATGACTGTACTATTATGCATTTCCACCAGCAATATATGAGTTTCAGTTATTCTGCAGTCCTGCTACTACTTGACATTATCTATTTTAAAAAATTTTAGCCATTCTAGTAGGTATGTGGTGGTATATCACTATGGTTTTAATATGCATCTCTCTAATCGCTATGCGGTTAAGATTTTCTCATGTGCTTATTTGCCACCCATATTTCTTCTTTGGTAAAGTGTCTGTTAAAATCTTTTGCCCATTTGAAAAGTTGGGTTATTATTTTCTTATTGAGTTGTAAATGTTCTTTATATATTCTGGATACAAGTCTTTAATAAGATATATATTGTGTAAATATTTTCTCCCAACCCATGCCTTATATTTTCATTTTCTTAGCAGTACCTTTGGAAGATAGTTTTTTAACTAATTAATTTTTTAATTGACAAAAGTTATATGCATTTATCATGTACAACATGAGGTTTTGAAATATAGTTACATTGTGGAATGGCTAAATTTAGCTAATTAACATATGTATTACCTCATATACTTATTTTGTTTTTGTGGTGAGAACACTTAAAATCTATACTCTTTT